TTAATGTAGGAGTATCTATAACTGGTTCTATTATAATAATATATTTATTTTTAAGAAATTTTGAAATTAATATGGTTTATAATAAAATCTAATATTTAGACAATTTATAAATATTCATTACCATTTAATCTTTCTAGTATTTGAACAAATATTGAGTATAATTAATAGACTATTATATTTGTTAATTAATTATATTTGCTATTATATTTACCTTTATCACTTGATACTAGTACTATATTTTAAGTTTATTAAAATTTTAATAAATAAAAACAAAATGAAAAATTATAGTATTATGGTTATTATTATATTCACTTTCATTATCCAAAGTTAATTCTACATTATAAAATAATTAATAAATTCTTTTAGTACTAATTAATTATTTATAGTAATTGTTGTATATACCTTCATCATTTCTATATTCGAATTTGATAGAATTTAATTTTTAGCAAACTAAAATAAATATATTACCTTCTAATGAGGAAGCTTTTTTAGCATCCGAAACTGGCTTTAATGTAAATTCATGAAGATAAAAAAAAAATTTTTAGAATATTATCAAACCGTCAAATTAACTCATTTTATTCATACGAAGCTTGATATCTTTTATTCCTTTTTATTGTTTGGTAAAAATATTTTTAGTTTCTTTTTTACACTCTTTACCTTTATAATTACTATTATTACTATTAGACATTGTTATAATTTACAATGTTTTTTTTTTCAAAAAAAAAACAGAATGTAATATTGTCAAGGTATGTCTTACCGTATGTAGGGAAAGGTTTCCATTGTTAAGTCTGGAGCACAAGTATAACGAACGAAAGGGTATCGCTCACATTTTGAACGGGCGGATAGGACATTTTTATCATAGCGCGTAGACAATAATAGTCCTTCGCTACGCTCCGGACTAACAATCATTACGGTTCAAAAGGCATGTCTGAAATCTGTGACAGGTATTTATTTTTTTTTATATGTAATTTATATTATATTTTGTATTAAATACATAAATTAAAATTTTTTTTTTTTAAAAAAAAAAAAAAAATACTTCGAAAAATCTAGTATTTGAGTGGAAAGGACTTCCTATTAAATATAGATGAGTTTTAAAGGTGTAGTAGTTTATAAATAAAACCAGAATTATGGGAAAAAATAGTAGCATATTTAGCCATACGAAAAAATAGGATTAGAATTAGGTTGGGACAGTCTGAGACCAAGACCTATGTCATCGGTCTTTTAATCAAGACCGGTCTTTTAACCGTCGGTCTACAATTGACCCATCACTTTTTTTTTTTCAATATCCTTATTTTCAAAAAAATAGATCTATCATTCCTTTCAACTTATACAGCTTTAAAATTTATTTTAAGAGAATTCAGTAATTATACACCAAATTTTTCTAGAGCTTCTTCAGAACAAAAGAAATATTATTTTGAATTTATTTTTTTTAGTATTATTTATAATTGAGAATTCAATGCCCGTCATATAACATAATAAGATTTTCAAAAAAAAAAAAAAAAAAAAAAAAAAAAAAAAAAAAAGGGAAAAGCAAAGTCAATTTTGGACATTTACGTATAATTTGTCCGACCGAAGACTAATCAAAACCTAATCCTGATAACCATAACTGGTATCTAATCCTATTTTTTACAACTTCAGGTAAAATCATGTTTATTTCGTAATTACGTCACATTTATTTGGTACATTTTTACGCCACTTGTGAAACAAAATGAAAATTATATAAATACTTTTAAATCTTTAATTCTTTTTTTTTAAAAAAATGACTGATAAATTCTTAAATGTTTTATCCAAGGATTATAGTAACGTACTTGAAACCGGTGAATTTTTCGATACCGAAATATTAGTTGGAGAAGGACTTGACTCTAAAGTATTTCGCCTACATTCTTTTGTATTAAAAATTAGATCCCCCTACTTTCGTATCGCTTTGTCGGAAAATTGGGTTCGAACCAAAAATGACATCATCGAACTCCAAAAACCAAATATTCCCACTAGAATTTTTAATATACTTGTCGAGTAAGTGTTCAGTTAGATGTCGTTACATATACCTTTTATTATCCTTTTTTTTTTTTTAAAAAAGAAAAAATTTCATTTAGGTATATGTACTGCGGGACTATCAATCTTACAGGACAAGATACCAGTACGAATATTGCGCTGTTGATTGCAGCTGATGAATTATGTCTTAATGATTTATGTTCATACATTGAAGAAGAGCTTCTTAAATATAAAGCGTCGTTAAAACATAACTTCGTCCTTATTCATCAAGTCACATATCAATACAGTCATTTTACAAAATTATTCCAGTTCCATCAAGATGCCTTTCAACAAGATCCTTCTTTAATTTTCAAAGCTAAGGATTTCACAACTATTAAGCATGATGTGCTTCTTGATATATTACGATTTAATCATTTATTGAAACCAATTGAAGTTTGGGACAAACTTATAGAGTGGGTAATTGCACAAACGAATGGATTACCGTTGGAGATCACAAAGTGGACCTCTGACAATGTTTCTACTTTTGGGAAAATCGTTCAACCATTTATCCCACATATTGATTTTAAAGAAATTCATCCTTCTGATTTCTTTCAAAAGATTAAACCCTTTAAAAGCATTTTTAATATTGAATTTTATGTTAAACTCCTTGAATATTATTCTTTTAACGACAATAGCCATTCAAGACATAAAATGAATATCGATTCTAAAATTATTAATTCTGAACAAGCCTTTTTGCTTGCTAATTTTATTAAATTAATGAAAAAAGAAGTCCTTAATACTTTTATGAAATTTGAGTTGCTTGTACGCGGAAGCAGAGATGGTTTTGATGTTAAAACTTTTCATGAAAATTGTAGTAATAAAGGTCCTACCATTACTATTGCTTGCGTTAAAGATACTAATGAAATACTCGGAGGATTTAATCCATACAGTTGGGAATTTGAAGCTGAAGTTACTGTTTCCCCTACTCCCTTCACTTTGCATCATCCTGTTTCTGGATGTGATAAAGAAAGTTTTATTTTTTCATTAGATAGAAATAATCTAGAAAATTCCATATTTAGTAAAGAAAGTAATGCATTTAATTTCATGTCAGAATATGGTCCAAATTTTGGCACGTCTGATTTATGTTTACTCGTTAATTCCACCAACAAAGGTCAATGTTATAAGAAAAATTACGAAAAATTAATTAAAAATTATGCGGGAACTTTTGAAATAAGTGATTATGAAGTTTATCAAGTTCAGTTGACCCGGAAAAACGTATGTGAAGGGGTTGGGAGGAATGGGTATAGGAGGGAGAGGGGGAGGGTGTACGTTAGGGGTGGGTTATAGAACTTAATTGCTAGCAAATTTTATTAGATTATAAAAATATGTCTGAAGAATGAATGACGCCGTTAAATGATTAAATTTTACCTAGCGTAGGTCTCAAGTAATTCTCAAAATAACCAACATTTGCCTAAGGGTAAATATGAGTTAATCTTTGATTTATCCATGCAAAAAATCCTAACCAGGAGTGAAAAATACAACCGCGTTGTTTCTACATGAATATTTTCATGAGAGTTTTTCCAAGACCGGGGATTTTTATATTTTGTTATTTAGCATTGCAGTTTTTTAACTATTAAAGTAAAATTATCAAGAATGTGTTAAATAGTACAGAATAAATTAATCATATCATCCCTAATCCAAGATGTATATAATTTTCTGAATACTCGATGTCCTTTGTTGTAACATACTTCTGCAATCGAAAGTTTTTAATTGTATAGATTATATTCAAATTTCGAAGTCTGTTTACCTTTTTTGTAAAAATGGATTATAAAGTCAAAACTAATATTTCTCTTGGTATAGAGCATTTTCGCTTATATAAATGATGTTTTTACTGACGAAGCCCGTTATGTTAAAATTATCATTTTTTACAGTAAAAAACATAAAGTATTTAATAACATCATGATTTATGAGAAAACGTGTGAAATTCGTTTTTCATCATCAAGGTTCTATTAAATATAATTTTTAATATAGATTTATCATCATAATTATTAATAATTTTATTTAATATTCTATTTTATTTAATATTTATTATTAATAAATTCAGTTAGAATTAATTGTAACAAAGGATTTTTAATTTGTTCTAATTTGCTTATTATGCTTTTGAATTAACAGAGCTTTCTCATTACTTTTAACCAAATCGACAGAAGATACATTCTTATGATCTTTATACCTGCACATTTTTTCAATTATTGTGTTTAGACATGATCATATATTATCATAATATACCGCGCTTTTTAAATATAAAACCTTTTACTGAAAAAAAAAAATAAAAATAAAAGAAAAGGTAATTACATACTTAAAAATTTTTTGAGGAATTTCTTCAAAAAAAATATTAATGCAAGCTCCCCAAAATATTTTACTTGATGTTGCTTTAGAAAATTTAGTATTAAAATCAAAAATGAAAATCTTTACTTTGATTCAAGCATGATTAAAGCTTCCGCTAAAGAGGTGAATATTGATAATATTGATCATCCTGAAAATTAAGTTCAATCCAAGCTACAATAAATGGAACAACCACAAATACAATGCTTTGAAGAGAAAAAAAAATATAAAATGTTAATCATTTTTGAATTTTTGTTATTAATAAATACATTTTATCACCTCGGAATAAATTATCCATCAGAAATTATCAGACCTAATTATAAAATTTTGCCTATATCATATAAATATATGAAACATTTTAGTTACTGGTTTTTTTATAATTATTGAAGTTCATGATATTACCTCCTTATATTATATCTTGCTAAAAGAAAAAGGAGAGCAATACGAATACGGTTTGCCAATAGTACAATTATAGACATTCCATACCATTTCAACAAACTGGCTATTTTACAAGTTCAATTGGTAAATTTTAAATAATATTAGGTTCAAGAATTAATTCTTATGAGAGAGATTGTATCCATAACCTTGATCCAAATATTTTGAAGATTCGCCGGCTGTAATAATACTTTTATGCTTGATCAAAGTATCTAGATCTTAAGCGTTCTTTCTTTATTGGAATCATCCTTTTCTATATCAATAGATAAAATTATTTGTTTTGGAGAAACTGAAGGATCAGTTATACGTTCCAGACTAACGGGGATTGCATAAGCAAAATCTCGTCTCGCCTTAATTTCATGTAAAAATTTTACGACCAACATCATCAAGTCCTTCATAAAGAGCGGCTACTTCTGGATTTAATCGAATTCTTCCTGCAATCGTACTTAAACTTTTTTTCATCTACCATATATAATTTAAAATGATTTAATGTGTAGATTTCTTAAAATAAAATGAATTAATAAGTTACTTACGTGTCGTAGTTGTAAACCAACATTATTCTATACGCCCTGTAGTATTTCTTGATAAAGCTGACTCTTACAAAACCATATTCTATTAAAGCATAATATTTTTTATCAGGTTGTTTGAATGTACTTTCAATTATTTTAACAATAACATCTTTGTCAAGCTTTACATAATCGGTTATGCTCCAGAAATGTTTTGACGTATAATCTTGCGAACATTTTGAAATATTAATATATTACAATTTGATAAATCAATAGGATCGTGATAAGAAGATGTAATTTATATAATAATGTCGAAACTGTAGTGTTAATAAGTTAAATTTCTATAACATGGTCTATAATATAATATTTTAGTTCTCAATATAACTTACCTAATTCGTTGGCAAATCTATACAAATCATTTGTGGTTAAAGTCCATCTTCGATAACAACTAGCATTCGTAATTCTCTTGATAGGATTATTCAAACCCAATAATAAGTTTCAATTGCCATAAATAATGTAACCATAATTATTTGTGCCGATTACATTTATTAAATAATTCCCATATTATAATAACCTAAAGTCATAACTTTCAATTCCTGGATTAGTTTATCTGTCACTGAAGAGTCTTTCAATGTAATGGTGATCCAACACCACCTATATTCTGGACCGTAAAAAGTTGAACATTAAGAATCTACTATCTGTCGTTAAAATGCCTGCCTATTAGAATGATACACTGTAAAAAAAAAAAGAAAAAAAAAAGTTAGATTCAAAAATCTAAATATTCATCAAACGTGTAATGAATTCGTGCTTAGGGCGGTTGGGAGTCAGATCTTAAGAGTCAATGTATCAAAGGAACGAACTCTAAAGATAATTGCTTATCAATACGCTATAGCACTGGATAATACTTGTCTATAGAAATGAACATCCCGGGTATATCGAATCGGTAGGTCAAGCAATATTTCGCGAGTATTGTTGAGCTCGAAACCAGAATGGAAAACCACTACTAATACAATAAATACCTTGTCAATCGTGGGAAGAACACGTTCAAATAAATTTCAATAGCGAGAAGGGTTCAGACGGTTCCACCGGTATGCCTATTAGGATGATAAAAAAAAAAATGTTAAATTAGTAACCTAATATTTTTGAAAAAGTAAGGAATTGCTTAGGGCGGTTGGGAGTCAGTTCTTAAGAGTCGTAAAGATAATTACTTATCACTACGCAATAACACTGGGATAATACTTGTCTTTAGAAATAAACATCCCGGGTATATCGAACCGGTAGGTCAAGCAATATTTCGCGAGTATTGTTGAGCTCGTAACCAGAATGGGAAACTACTACTAAACAAATACCTTGTTAAAAACGCGAAAGGCACGTTCAAAATATAGAAAAGTTGTTTGGAATTGTGTGTTATATTAGGTATGAGGAGTATGAAGGGGAGTAATGTGTGTATTTAAGAATTTGCATTTTCTTTTTCTTTTAAAATAAAAAAATGATGTAAGATTATTCAATTGTGTATCAGCGTAATAAGATTAATATATTTTGGTCCATCACATATTTATTATTACTTAAAATAGCAAGTATTAAAAAATTAACCATTCTGACTGCAGAATGATCTCGTGTTAATGAGTCATCAATGGAGATTCATGAAAAATTTAATATTGATAAAAAAAAGAGATAAACAAGTAAATAAAAATTCTCTAAAAATTTTCTTCCAGGAATTGCGATTGCAGATCACATTTCGCAAACACTTGACGTTTGTTAAAAAAACCCCGTTTATAAACCTGGATCAGGTGAAATTTAAGTTGCAAGCTGGCATAGCTACTAGCTTACCAATTCCAGTATTTAATTAGTAACATAAATTTTATAATTATTGTGATTATAATACTTTTTTTATCTCTTTTTTTTTTGTTTCTTGCAATGGTCTCTTATTACTTATTCATTAATTGTGAAGCCTTTGACTTAGATAATTAAAATTAGAGTCAGTATGATAAAAATTTAAAATAAAATTTATCTGTTTATCTTGTCGAAATTGTTTACACATTATCCAAATAAGATTTACTATGTCTCGTAACTTAACTTTAATAGCAAACGATCCCATATTTTCTATTCTTTTTTTTTCTCTTTTAACGTTTCATATCTGACGTTAAAAATTAATTTTTAATACTACTATAATTGTAATATAATTGAAACTGAAGAATCGATTATCATAATATTATATAAACGTTTCTTAAACGTATTGAACCATCACATAATTAAGTCCAAAAAATATGGGCGATATGCTATTAAATTCATGTTACGAATATATGATTTACTATGACTTGAGACTCAATTTAAATAGCAAACGACACTTATATTTCCTTCTTTGATATCCAATATCATAATAATAATTTGCATTAATTATTTATATTTTAATCTAAGAATTTTACTTACAAGATATCCTTGTCCGTCAGATGTTGAATTTAAAATTTATTTCGGGTAAGAAATTATATTTTTTTTTTGTTTAAAAAAAAAATAAAATAAGAAAATAAAGGTATTCATAGATTTTTAACCATTCTTTAAATATAAATGTAGATACGGAAAATAATAAATCGGTTAGGTTTGATAAGCTAATGGCGAGAAACCGTCTCTAATAATTCTATTGATGACATAATTCATACCCCGACGATAGATTAATACAAGATCAAAGTTACATTGAAAAGTTTTACCTTGCGCAAAGCTGAGTAATCGAATAGTAAAATTCTTTCCATATTAATAATTACAGACTGAACAGTTGCACAATTTAAATATTCGTGTTTATTTGAAAACTATATCCTTTAAAATAACCAAATTTAACACTTCACGTAATTTTTCCTGCTTCCAAGTCAACGAAGGTGGTAAGATGGCAACAATAGTCCGAATGTGATGATAAAATGTTTTGCCCCAAGTTGCAATATGGCTTTGATCTTTGACAATAATTATGATGTCCCATAGCCCCAATTTTAAATTGGGGCAATAGTCAACTCGGGGTACCGCATGTTCCAATTTCTAATTTTAAATTTGGGACAATGGTAAACTTGGAGTATCGCATGTCTCGAATTCTAATTTGACCAATTTTAAATTTGAGCGGCAAATCGCATTGCCCGAAATCGAAATTTGAATTTGGGGCGGAACCTTAACTTGGGGCACAACAAGAAATCGTACTGAAAAAATATTTGAAGTATATAAAAAATGTACAAAGAAATTTATTAAAAAAGATTGAAAAATTCTGAAACCACACGGAATTTAAAATAATTGATAAATCGAATAAAATAATTTTTTGTTTCTGGCGTTCAAAGTAAACTTGAAAAGTCTTTTACAATTAAGTAGTATCAACGTCCTTAGTATGATCAGAACATTCTAACTTATAACGACTTTAATCCAAGTCATTTGAATCAATTATAAAAGTCCTTCGTTCAATTTATTTAGTTTTTATTAACTTGAAATACGTAAATATCTTAACACTCCTCGTTAAAAAATTATTAAAAGAATCCACTTTTCTCGTATAATAGAAAAAAGCACCCAATTAATAGAAAGAAGTAAATTACAATCTGAAATAAAATCGATTAATTAAAATAAAACGATTTCGTAAATATTGCAAATATGTCATGGTTACGAAGGCAAGGCGAAGAAAAAAGGTAAGTAGTTTCACATTATTTTAACAGTCCAAACATGAACATTTACACATAATTTCATTGACAACAGTATGTTAATATTATGACAAGAAATAATTCCGGTCTAAAGATAATTAAAAACTAAGCAATATGTCGATAAGCTCTGCTCAACATACCACTTCTTATTTAATAAGCAAATAAAAATTTATTTAAAACTTTAACTAAATACAGAATTTACGATTAAAAGGCCATAATTGTATTGAAACTATTATAGAATTTAATAATATATTTTATTAATGAAAACCTCCTTGTTTCCTTATATGCAGAAAAAATAATTGGATTAAACTTTCTTTGGAGTTTAACTAACTACCATCTGTTTCAATTTGAGAAACTTAATCTATTTTCAAATCTCAAAATAATCATTATTATTCGAAATTCTTTTAATCAATTCACTATAAGGCTTTACAAAAGGATGTATTTCATTGTCTAAATATTGACGTCCATAATAATCATGAGTTGAAAACAAAGCACTAACATTATATGCAAAATTCGTTACCTTTTCTCCCTTACAAATTCTTTTAAAACATCAAAAATAATATCATTTTGGGATTTATTAATAACCAGTAGACTGTTCAAACCAACAATGTGTTTGCAATTATCCAAAAAGATTTTCAAGTTGATTGGATCAATTTCAAGTTTTAATTCTAAATATTTCAAAGTATCTGGTAAGATTTGACCCAAATTTGTCAAGATCATGGAACTAACTCTTAGTTGTTGATCGTCATAGTCCGACTCAATAAGACAAGGTTGACGATGATTCCGAATTTGAAGCGAAAGATATTTGAGATGTTTGCGAACGTGAGTGATTAATTTAAACAACTGAACTATGTCCACATGTTCAATCTCAGATATATGGAGAAATTGAACTTTATTACAATGATTGATAATACTTTCATAAATGATTTTTCTTTCAATCACAAGTTTTATTTCCAAATTTTCCAGAAAAGAACCGATTTTTTGAAACAATGATTGAATAAAAGTAATTTCCATACTTAAACCATCTAGTGTTAAAGTTTTGATTTTTAGTGGAGTAGAAATGTCAAGTAAGGGTCGAAAAACCTGAACTGTTATCCCTTTGCATTGTTTGAATTGAAGTGATTCAAGGTGTACAAGGTAGTTAAGTCCATTCAATGATGGCATGTCGTTAAAATTACACAAAATAAACTTGATTGATGTTAAAGTATTAGAACAATACTTCAAAGCACTCATTAAGTAAGCTACTTTTGATGATATAGTATAAAGTGTAAGGGATAAAAGTTGCGTTTGTGATTTAATCAAATATTTAAAATTCCTCTCAGATAAGTTCTCTTTCAAACTAAAATAAATTGTAAAATGCTTGTTTGAAGTTATCGCTGATGGGGAGTCCTCGAAGGAAGGTATCGGTAAATGAGGGATAACTTTACTCCTGTCAAAATCTAATGTAAAATATTTGATGTCTGATAAAAATTTAGGTTTCTTGCATATTTCATTGAAAATCATAACATTAAGAGCATGTTGACTATGACAAATTTTTATATATAAACTATTTAAAGAAATGTCATTACTTATAAATAATTTAAATAATAATTCACAAATAGTGCTTAATAGATCGAGTAGCTTTGCATGTTCATTATGAAATAGGCTTATCGTAAAATCTGTTGTTAAAGGGTTGGTATCAATTAAATTTTCAATAAATTCTGTTACATGCTCTTGCATTCGGAGTTGATTTAAAGTTTTAATAAAGCTGGGGTAATTTAATAAAGGTTTTTTAAATGATGATGGAAAAATTAATCCTTTTAACCTTGCTTTATCCTCATCATTAAGAAATAATAAATAAGTAGTCAGAAATTTACTATTCCTCATAATGTAAAAAGGATCTTCCCAAAGTATGGGAATTGTAATCCAAAATAAATGCCTATTGACTAATACGCATGAATAAAGTGACCTTAAATGATCACGTAAAAATTGTATGATATAATTTGTTATTTCCGGTAAAACCCCAGAAAATAATTTTTTACATGCCATATTGTTAGGAAGAACGTGAGAAGGTGGAACGAAATTGGAAATAATTATATATATCTGTATATTGTTTCACAAAATGTTGACAAGTCCAGTCGCACATGTTTCTTAAACGATACCGTACGCTGCTTGGCTGTGCTGTTGTGCATCCTCATTAAAAAAATTTTACATCGATTTACAGTATTTTTAATGCATGCGTTGGTTTCCCAATCAATCGCTGCGATTATTTTTTTCATTTACGCAATTCGCGGTTACACTGAAATCGTAGTTACGGATGATAATATGTTCACCCACACATCCTTCCCGTTGTTCCTGTTGTCCATCTTGAACATAATTTCTTTGAATTAGCAATCATTTATTAAGTATTATATTTCTCAGATAAACTTATGATCACTATTGTCGTTTCTATGATATTGCTCATTTTAAAATTATGATTTCTCATGACATGTGAAAAGTTTATAAATATTTGCCAAATTTTATTATGAAGCCATTTTTTAAATGAGATTAAATGTTGTCATAAAGTTTTTCATTACTTATTTCCGCCTTTTACTGTGACACTTTTGCATTTTTTATAATTATTTTAATTAATATTTTGTGTAACAATATTAATACAACTTTATTTTTAATTGCAAAAATTTATCTTTTATTTTAGGAATTATGTTTAAAGCCCAACCATTATCATAATAAAATTACAAATCTCAAATCTTTTAGTTCGTTACAAATAACACGAAAAGAGGTCCTTACAAGTTATAATACAAATTAACGTATGATCAGCCAATGGAAAAAATTGGATTGTTCAGTTCAATGAAATCACTTCTAGGGAAAATAAAGTCATTATTGCGTCGTAGTCGGCAATCATAATGGAATAGTTTCAAAAACAACATTTGTCTTAAATGTTAGTAGTATAAACAAAGATTTTGATCACATTAGCGATACAATCTTACAATTTAATATCTCGTAAAACGAGACATGTTATTAACGTTAAAGAACTAAATATGTTAATAACTTAAAATTCTCTTTAAAAAATTGAAATATATTTTAGCTTTCAAATATTATAAAGCTGAATTTTTATTACAGTATTACAATAATTAGAAGTTAAAATTATTAATTAAAATTTAACTGAAATAAATATATAGATATATAAAAAAATGATAATATTAAATAAAAAGTTACTAAATTTGAAAATATAGAGAATCAAATAAATCAAATTTAATTAAAGATTCTAATCTTTAAATCGTAAGTATAAAATTGTTTATAAAATATTGTAAAAAAAATTATAATATTTTAATATCTAGTAATCATAAAAAAATAAAGTTTATTATATTTGTTATATTAAGAAGTATTTAATCATAATATTTTTAAATTTTTAAAATTAATAATTATTAATATAGTATATAATAATTTTTCAATTTTACAATTTTTTAAAAATAACTTATTATTTAATGATTACAAAAAAATAAATTTAGTTTGTTGGATTCATTACACTAAGATCTATTAAATTATTATATTTATATAGAGTTCCGAATGAGTCGAGTCGAGTTGAGTTTAAAGATCAACTCAACTCGACTCTCTTTTTTTGAGTCGAGTCGAGTCAAATTTATTTTATAAAATCTTTCAAT